GGTCAAGATGGCTGGATATTGGCCTCGTTCTTTTTATGGATGTTAATGGTCCCCGCCTTCATCTCGGTCTATAAATAAGCCAAAAAAGAACCTGGCCTAAGTCTAACCATCTTGACCTCACGCTTGGTCAATGTAGCTAACGTTTAGACACAAGTGACACTTGGGTAATTTTCCGAGCTTCTTAGTGCGCGTTCCCCGGCAAAAAACACGTGTGTGGGCAAACCGTGGTGCGAACGTCAAAAGTTGTCTAGCTTGTATGGAGCATTTTCCTAAGATTCCTTTAGCTTTAGACTAGTCCATTACCCTCGTCGTTGGACAAAGGTAATTTGTAGCTCAATTTCGTTCCGTTTTATTGCGCCTTGTTAAGATTTTTATGTATTTTGTCAGAACAAGCCGGTTCGCAAACGGTTCGTTTTCTCATCGATTTCTTTGTCATGTATTACTTCCGAGTTTTACGCTCTGCCGAGGAAATTAAAAAGAAGTTGTAATTCTGCCAGCAATGTGATCGTGAATTGTTTGGATCGAATTTGGATCTATTTATAGAGCGAAAGGTCAATAAGGTCAATAACCCATATTTATAAGCTTCTTGTTATATGTATGGCTAGCTCCGTGAGCGGGCAAGATGAACCAAATCCTGCGCTTTGATTGGCTACCCGAGAGGACAATATGGCGCTATCTTGCCTGCTTGGGTTTACCCGCTCTGTCCTGCAAGAAAAGGGTGTTATTTTCCCATAATAAATCCTTTATTCACCAAGTTTGGTCGGTCAATATGGCTGTATATTGGCCTCGTTCTTTTTTAGCGTGTTTACGGACCTTGATTCTGTTCGGCCATAAACCCGCTTAAAAAAACTTGGCTAATGTCCAGCCATCTTGACCTCACGCGTGGTCGATAACCCATGTACACCTAATTAAAAAAGAGAAAAAAAACGTCAAGAAAAAAAATATATTAGTGTATAAACCATAAACGATTCGACTCAATGGTTTTCTGGGAAGCTTGCGAACTAATACTAATTGCATTCCTGCATACCGTGTACATACACATTGAAGCAGTTTCAGACGAGATCAGCACGCGGGCTGTATGGCTTTATTACTAACTTTGTTATGATATTGAAGAAACTGCAGGATTGCTCGCATTGTATAGAAATGTAAATTTTCCTTTGTTTTCTAACCTAGCTAAATTTAGGAAGACATGGGCAGCTTCCAGGTTTTTCCGAATCCCATCTCCAGGCAGCTGACCTGTGATCGTTTAAATGCCACCAATAAATACAGCGTGGAAAAAAATTCCAGACAGTGGTTCGGAGATTAGCCAATCAAATTCGAAAATTAAGGATACCAGCCTGCTGAGACAATTCTAATCTTCTTGGAAATTGAATTATCCCGTAGTTACTAAATATTCCTCCGCAACATCGGCGATATCTCCATCATATGTACAACCTCCAGCCAATGCACACCAATTATGGCTGAACGTAAGATAGCTCAGCCAATCAAATGGGATTAACATTAGTATACTAGTAGGATTCCACTATTTTTTTTATCGCGCAATACGGATACTTAAGCGCAAATAGTGCATCCTAGTACGCAGCAGCGCAAGATAAAACAAGAAACACTTGTAAACAAAGGTATTTAACCTGTAAAACCTGAATAAACAAAACCATAAAATACTATGTCGGAACCAAGAAAGTTTGTTAAAAGTGGGGTTGTACTCTAATTTCGGAGAGCTAACCAAGCAACAGATGAACCAAATAACGAGAAAAGAACAATGGTCAATACTTCTATTTGTACTTTTCATAAGCTCTAAAATTATTCCATTATTGTTTTTCTTTAAAATCTTTACAGAAAATTGAATTCTTCGTAAATGAATGATGCATGGGCTATTGTTCATTCTGATTCTATCAGACTGAAAAAAGGTCCTCAAAGACCTACACCACAACCAAGCGCGCCACAATAACACTATCGGAAAGTACTCCAACACTGATTTGCTCAGTCAAAGGAAACGGCCCTCTACATTAAATAAAAATAAATTAGCACTTTTCACTTTAACTCCAAGTGATCGAAACAATCATTGTAACATGTCCAATAAGCGCAATTTGGTTTTACTTCTTGTTTGCGTGGGGCTTGAGTCAAAATGATGTAAATGCCACTGTAACCAGGCCGTCGTGGTTTGGTGTGTTGTCGTGAAGGTACCAGGTGGGAACACACACTCCACCGTGGCTAATGCAGTTGATAGGTGGTTCATCAAACTTTTGTTTGTAGCGACTAAAACGCCTGGTGATCAGTCGGACTCTTCATTTAGGAGCTTAGTCGACTCATTATCTACAGTATCACTGTTATCCAAAGGTGGGATCTGATCTGTAACCGGAGGAGACTGGTTTTGAGAATCCCGAGAAGGACTTGAACGCTGGGCATTTGGAGAAGCTTCGTCTGCCGAGGTCCCATTTTCCCCTTCCACATCTCCCTCAGGCTCCTCTTGGTCCTGCAAAAAAATAAAAGCATTTAATATGAAGATGAATATGAAGGCCAAGAAAGAAAGGAAACAAAAACAAGCTTTTACCTCTTCAGGACACAACTCGCAGGCCTTGGCCAGTGTCAGTCGGGCACTGTGTGATCGCTCCAGGAAATACCTAAATGAATGTAGCAACACAAATTACACCTGCTTTCAGTGTTACGTGCATGGGCGACATCTTTCGACCATTTTTCGACATGCAATGTAAACGGCTGAAAGACCGTTTCACCATTTTTATGATTATTATTTTTTCGTTAATTCTCTTTTTTGGTTTTTTCTTTATTTAATTTTACGTATTTTTCTCATAATTATTATTTAAGAAAAAGAAAACATGTACCGTGTTTCTATCGAGTTACAGAAACACGAGTGGAAGTTTGGGAGAACGAGAAGTGCTGTGGGAACACGAGCCGCAGGCGAGTGTTTCAGCTTTTTCGATTTCTCCGAAACTTTCACGAGTGTTTCTATTAATAATTAGATTATGAGCTCGAGATTTCGATCGCGTGATAGTTGACTCGGGCTGCGCCTTCGTCAACTATCACGCGATAGAAACGAGAGCTCATAATCTAACTGTTTTAGTATAAATCTAGTAGTCGTTCAAAACTTTATCTAAATCCTGTTCACAGACACTTCGAAAATGCYAAGAAGCGGCCGTCATTTTGTTAACAAGGGCACACTGCTACGCTACTCACCATCTATCACAGAATAGATAGTGAGTAGCGTAGCCAATCACAGAACGGCATTCGAGATAGAAAGCTAGTGGATTTATACTAAAACTCGATAGAAACACGGAGAACATGTTTTCTATTTCTGTTAGAACTCCGCGACGAAAAAAGGAAAACAACGTGTTTACTTTGATCATCGACACGTAAATTCTCTTTGCTCGCGCCATCATTACGTCAACAGCTCGTGCTAGTTCTGTGTTTCCATCGAGTTACAGAAACACGATTTTTAGCAAATCAGCGCGCGTATTTTTGTAGGGCTGCTTTCTAAAATTTTTCCGGGATGTTCCATGTTCCTGCTTTTATCGATGGCCAATTAAAAGTAACAAACAGAATTTAGCATTGACGGTAGTTTTGAGAGGTAAGGACTGAGCCTGAATTATGAAATTTTGCAAACCAAAGCGAAATTTCCCTTTGGGTGAGTGAGAAGATTTTCATGAACTCAAATCGAATGGGAGCTTTAAAATTGCCTACACGTCAAAATTTAAGCTTGTTCTTTTGTTTTTGTTTTGAATTCATGCCGATTTTATGTATTGGCGGGGGTTGATTTTGAGAAGGTGTCAGATCAAAACATGACATAACAGTCAGGCAAATGTATCTCATAGAATTCTTTTCTAGTTAGAAGAAACGCTTTGGAGAATGAACAAGTTTGCAACTAGTTATGGCGAGTGAGAAGATTTTCAAGAACCCAAATCGATTGCGAGTTTTACATCTGTTTCCGTTTTGAATTCATACTGAGTTTAAGTATTGGCGGGGGTTGATTCTGAGAAGGTGTCACACCAAAACACGACAGTCATGCAAATGCATCTCATAGAATTCTTCTACCGTCAAACTTCCGGTTGCGAATACCTCTCGTAAGCAACCAGTTTTCCAAAGTACCAAAAGTTTCCAAGTCAAATCACTATATTTGGAATTTCTTGTAAGCGACCACCCCTCGTAAGCGACCGCGACTACTTTAAGAGCTAAAAGTTTGAAATTTTCTTTTGTTTTCAACCTCCCTTAAGCGACCACTTGACAGATAATAGAGCGTAAATTGGATGATAAGGTAGTCGATAAGGTAGTCGATAAAAGTGCCGTTTTTTTTGTCACTGACTTGTATATTTTAGCAAATAAATTCGCAATCGATTTGGGCTCTTCTCACTCGCCATAAATAGTTGCAAGTCTGCTTGTTTGCTAAAATATACAAGTCAGTGACAAAAAAACCGACACTTCCATCGACTATGTCATCTCCTGACTACATTTACTCAATGGATAATAAGGTGTTGTAACATTATCGTATTTCTGGGTAGAACAAGAGACGGAAATTTCTCAATGGGAAGTACAGGTTTTTTTTCTCGAAATTGATTTTTCACATGAATAAAACTTTCAAACATGGGGTAGGTCTCTGCATGTTACCATATGCTAATGAGGCAAAATTTTGACCCAGTATGGTCTAATGGTCTAAGCTCTCGTAAGCGACCGCCTAGGCTTGACATTTTGAGTGGTCGCTTATAATTACGGGAGGTTGGACTGCAGTTAGGAGAAACGCTTTGGAGAATAAACAAGTTTGCAACTACTCAGTGTTTTTGACGAGCGAGAAGATTTTCAAGAACCCAAATCGATTGCAAGTTTTTCAAGAACCTAAATTGATTGCGAGCTCTAAATTTCTGCTTTCAGGCTAAAATTTCGGGTTTGTTCTTTTGTTTGCTTTTTGGGTTTAGTTTTAGTAGGTGTCATGTCACACAACAGTCATGTAAATTCTTCTCTTGATATATGTTCAGATCTGTTAAGCATCAGAGAAAAAAACAGTGTTGCAACTATAGTTTGGATAGTTAGTGTTTATCAATTATTTTGTTGTAAAAAGTTGTTCTCAATCGTTTGGAGGACTGTCAAAAATTTCGAGTGTGTTTTCGTATGGGGTTCATATCAAAACACTTGGAGACTTTTATTAGTTGGTGTCATATCGCAAAGGTACGCAACTGTCACACAAGCTTAGCTCGAAGAAGTGTAGTTTAGCTCTCGGAAAAGCGTCAGAGAATGAGCAATTTTGCAAGTACAGTTTGGAGAATTACTGTGGTTCAATGATTTTGTGTTGTAAAATTGTTCTTAATCGTTTGAAGGTACGTAACGCAACTGTGAATTAAATGCCGTTTGCCACAAAAAGGAATCAATACAAGTCGCGAAAAGATTGGCATGTATCAGTCAACATTGTCAGTTCGTTGTCGGTGGTAAAAACCAAAACAATGTCAGTTCTTTGTCGGTGGCTGCAATAAAACTAAGCATAAGCCCACAGGTACGCATTGCGGACCTATTTTTTGGAGCATATCTTGATGATGATGATAACGACTATTTTAACAGGATGACCCATCAGTGTATTAAACACTCTTACACCTGCAGTTCTCTCAACTTATGCTTGCAGTGAAACTTTTCAAATATTCAAGTTATCTTACGAGTGACATTTTTCACATGTTCAAGTGATGTTTCATTTTCAAATTATATTAGTAACATTTTCCACCTGTTAATGTAAAAGAGGACACCCTTATATGCTCGAAAGGTACACTATGAGAGGTTATCATAGTGTTCATTTCTAACTTTTCAATAAATCTTGTTGTGTTCTCCCACACAATTATAATGTGACTTATTCCTCATTCACCAGCAACACAAATATATCACACCTAGCCCAGTTATGACAAATATCTATAAACTTGAACACCAATGTGTTTTGCACTTTCAAAGTACGCATGCTCGCTCCAGTACCCTATCTACCGTTGCACACATCTTAAACACAAGGCTCTTTAAGTGCATCTAGGCCCGCACATTTCTAACCTGTGGTTACCACTAGTTTGATGTCAAATAAATCCATCTTTCATCACTGAAATTCGAGTTCGACCGTTAAGAAGTCTGTTGTGCTTACGTTTTTGACATGGGCCAGGTTACATAGCATACCAAAAGATGGCATGTCTAAAGATGTCGCCTATGTACGTAACACCGAAAGCGGGTGTAAAATAAATTTAGTGTAGCCTGTGTACTAAGCTTTGAGAAAACAAAAGAATTTAAATGTTTGTTTGCTGTTGTGTGGTGTATCTGGGAGGGAGAGAATCAAATGCGATGAACTGCACACGCAGATGAACACTAAACGGCGAGAGAGTTTTTCACAGCCACTAAATGAAGTAAATGAAAGAGGCATAAACATCGATTCACTTACCCATTAGATGTCTCATTGGATTGAGCTGGGGGGGACCAGTTGTTGTATGTGTAAGACGTTCCACCGGTGTAGGGTCTCTGAAGAGATCAACAAATAGCAGCCACAACTTACACAATACACAAAACAACTTCTACGATTATCTATACCTTCCTTTCTCAATTTAAATACAAAACCAACAACGCAATTTAACTATACATTTCAATGTAAACTGACCCTGTCAAGCTCGTCATTAAGCCACTCCACTGCCCATGCCCATTTCCGTCGGAGGTCCGGTGCTGCTAGAAGAATCTGGTGTGCGAGGGGACAGCTGAGGAAAAAGCACAGAGAGAAACTGCCATCTACATATTGTTCTTATAAACCCTTTGCATAAATGGCGCCTAAATTTGAATAACAATTCTTAAACATCCTAACAGTAAGCCTCACATTTATGTGAAAAATCACTTGTCTGGAAACATAAGTACAAGGCTAAGGATGTATAAAGTATTGTTATTCAAATGTAGGTGCCACTTATGCACAGGGTCTACTCTGTAACTGTAATTGTCTTTGGAATAAATGAATGATTAATTTTGTTTCAACACGATGAGATTATCAGCAGAGCCGGTGGGGTCTGTATTTAGACTAAGAGTTAATACATCATTAGAACATGGGCCTTGAAAAAACTATCATTAATGAATATAAAAGACATAAAATATCATGTAATATGTGATGGCAGTACTGTTAGCACCATGTAGGTTTCAACTTTTCACTGACCTGCAAAACAGTGTCACCATGAACTTGATACATTGATATGCTCTCTTCTGGTAATGATTCTTTGAACGCTGGATTGTGTCAAATAAACCATCCTTGTCATCCGGAATACCTGGTGAAACAAAGAGAACAGTTTTAACTGCCAAAAGAGGGGGCCCACGGGTTCCTGAACTGGTCGTTCTTTTGAGCATAATGACTATTTTGCTTGTAAACATTTCACCATTACATGACTGACTCTGAGGTTCGGTTCTAATGAACATGAACTATGTAACACTTTACATGCAAAGAGCTTTAATTTTCAGCCTTGTATTTACTTGTGAAACTCGGTATTTGTGATGTTCTTAACAAAAAAATGTCATGTCATATGGACTTTAACTGTTACTAATGCACTCGTAGTTACAAAGTGTGGTTATACTGGTATTAAAAAAGGGTAACAAATGATCACTTTGTGTTGTTACCTTTAAGAGTGTTGTGAATTCTGTGACTCTGCCAAGAGTCTGTTATAAGCATCATCTGCAGCAACAAGTCTAGATATGGTCGAAGTTCATATGTATATGAAAAGGCGACCTGAAAAGAAAATTGAAATAATTTAGAAACAGGAAGTAGCTCGAAGTTGGACTGTCTTCAATACTCCTTGCTATTGGAGTTGGAGTTGAATGCAAAACAAGGGTATGGAGTTCAGTTCAGTCCTGGGGTTGACAGCTTCAACACTTTCAAGCGGGAAGAATTACACTCGAAGTTATAAACTGAAAGCACTTAAAGTATGTCTGAAATGTTTACTATGTTGTAAACAATTACTGGTGAGAACTTCTGACCACAGAATCTACAGAAAATGGAAGAGTTTCCATTGGTAATGGGACTAACTTGATTTCTGATTTTCACTTTGTCCTAAGATACACCCTTCGTTTGTCCCAAGAAACCCATCCGGTTATAACACAATAAACATTCCAAACATACTTGCTGGCCGACTCTGGGCTCGAGGTTGGACATAAACACAAACATACCAACAAGACTTTGAACAGACCCTCTTTTGCCTTCGTTCACAGAATAAAAGGGACAAGGTCACCATCGGCACATGTGCGCGATGGAGCAAAATAAATTGAAAACACTGGCTAAGTTTTTCAATATTACCGTTGAATCATTTTGACTGTTTCCATCTGGTTATATCTTGGTCATCCTTCTGAATTTTTGGAGAAATATTTTCTTTTTGTGAACTTTCTTCATCATTCAGGAAACCTCCTTGCTGAATTATTTTTGAGGCTTCAGTCTTTTGGATAAATTTTTCTGCTTAACCATGTGAACATATTATGACCTGTTATATCTGGTCATAAAGATCTTCAAAATATCGCCAGTTTAATCTTTAGAATTTTGAGTGGTTTTTCTTTTCACCTGGTCGTTTTAGGAGTCTTTTGTAGAGCGTTGTAAAAAAGAATTTTGTTTTATTTTGATTTTTTTTTTGTCATGTCGCCCGCGTTCAGCTTAGCTAGCTGCATCATTAACTAGTGGTATAAACTTTGTGGGAGATGATTTGCTTCTAACTTCGTTACTAAAGTTAAAACAAGAACATAAATGTACAAATGGTTTTGTAATTATCATATCCCATGGCACTGGTACGTGGCGGCTTAAATTTGTTTGCGCGTTCTGTTTGATATCAGTTACAACTACAAACATAGCAGTCTCACCATGTGACTTAGCCCCCTAGAGGCAATCCTTTACTAGGTGTCTATCGCTCAAGTAACAGATGAGCTATTGGAGAGAGTGGGTATATGCAATGAATACTTTACCTGCCACAGAAGTTCACACAGCACTGTTCTTGAAAAATGTGGGTTTTCCCAACAGCAAAACTGAAACAGACATAAGACTAAGGAATCAGCTAACGAGTATTACCAAATTTTCTAAAGTATGCGGCTCCGCTCGTCCGCCTTTGGCGCCCAGGAGCTCCTATATTAGTTTTCTTTTTATCCTAAAACAACTAGATCTAATTAAACGGCATATAATTAGTTTACTACATTTTGCTCTCTACTTCCCTTTCCCTACACTTTATTTTTTTTACTATATTCAAATCGTCAAGTGAAGAAATAATAATACTAATACTACTAATAATAATAATAATAATAATAATAAACACAATAAACACTCCTCTTTTTTTAATTGGAAAAAAAAAAAAAAAAAACAAATACTACACAACAAAGCACGAACATAACAAACAAGGTTCTTTAAATGAATAAAATTAGGAAGAGCAATACCCCTTACCCTCTAACACACTTGACCCTCGCACTGTATTGATTGACATATGGACAGAAGTACCATATCCCCGGCACAGCTGTTATTTTGCCTGGTAGCTTTTTTTTTTAATCTGGTATACAAACCATTTTTTGCAAGAAAAAAGGCGAAACAAAATTTGAAGCAGCCAACATGAGCAAATCTTGGACCATTGTGGTGGAATTGAAAACCAGTGGGCAAGTTTGCATATGAGCAAAAGACGCGTCCCTCCACTGCGCAAGTGAAATTTTGTCAAGCAGCTGGTATACGAACCATTGGTTTTATGAAAAACGGCGACCGGAATGGTCAAGTATGAGCCAGGAAAAGAACCATTCTCCCGCTATTGTGGTTGCATTTGAAAGCATGGGTAGAGAAGAGGAACTATTTGCTGTTCCGCTGCTGCAATCTGAGGCTTCTTTAAGAGTTGATAGTACCTCGTGTGAAAAACAAAACTCGCCTGTAGGTAAGGAACCTTTCTTTAGCATGATTTTCAATTTTTTGGCACTACTCGGACATAATTATAGACATAATTCTGAAAGAAGAAGGTCTAGTACTTACTCTTAACAGCTTTAGAGTATCTTCTGAAGTAGTGCTTTCTTCAATGACTTTCTTTAAATACCTGCAGCAAGCCAGTTAAAATTTAATTAATATGTTGAATAACAACACGCAAGAGAGACAGTGAAAACAACTAGAGCAAACAATGAACACTTCGACTGAAGTCCAAAAAACGTTTCTGAGCCCCCAAGAGGAAGTCAAATCCGTTGGACCTGCCAGATACTGGTTGGACGCTATATATACTGAGCTATAATAATAATCGTATCTATGACAAAATTCTTGATCGGGATTGGTTCTCTGCACGCCTACTTGTCACGTAATTGGCCCGAAATCACATGGGTGTCCAATTGCAGGTATCCAATTTGGATGTTTTGTAATAAGTCAATTTCAATACATTAAAATTCAGCTTGATAATGAGGCCTAGAGGACAAAATTAATGTATCGAAAACAGTTTGTTGGATACCCACGTGATTCACATGTCAATTATGCGCACTTTAATGGCTTCCATCGCAATGTTTCCGTCAGTTTCCAAAATTATGAAAAGTGCTAGAGACATTTTCACTCAAAAAAAGTTCTCTGAAGACATTTTTAATTTGGAAATTTGTTATAGATACGATTAATTAGTAAATGGACCTCATGTCTTACAATTCAGGGAGTCATCGTGTTCGAAGTTTCAAATCGGCCTCGTGCTTTGCGCTAGTCCGATTTTGAAATTACTTGCGCGATTATTCCCTGAATTGTACTCCACTCGGTCCAATTACTATTACTAATAATAATCNTTTTTTTTTTTGCTTTACAAAATAAATTGATGCATAAACACCTCTCATTCTCCACGTACATATTATTCGTTTAGAACAACTGTTCACTTTTAAAGCACCCATGTTTTGCCAAACAGAACAAGTGGAAGATCCAAACATACCTATTTCTTGTTTACTGTTCTCTGGGTATGGACAGCATGGACCATCCTGGCGGGAGAAGTGTGCTAAAAACACAAGGATTTTTGCAAAGCAATTTCGTACCTAGAGAATAGAGATAAAATGATGAATCACAAATTCCTTTTAACCCTAGATATTGGTTTTCAATTTCCAACATTATTACAATGGTACAAATAAACTAAATGGTGATTGCCTGTAAATATGGAATTTAGCTGCTTTGATCATTTCTCTGGGCTAAATGAAAAGGGGCTACAAAATCAAAGAATCCCTTAGTTGTCTTAAGTTGGCAGAATTTGTCAAAATGCCCTTCATAATACATGTATGCCCATCTAATATGGCAAAACCGTATCTTAGCTGCTTTCCTAGAGCCCTTATTTGTCAAGATAATTATTTTTATACATGAAGAGTTATCAAGACTCTGTCTCGGTCCATAAACATGCAAAAAAGAACTTGGTCAATATCCAGCCATCTTGACCTCACGCTTGGTCAATAACCCCGACAAAATGTCGTCTCTCTCTAAGCAAACTATGGGCAGATCGCCATACTGCTCTAAATAGTTCAAGGACTAAGTCAACAGACAAGTTAAAAGAAAACAACAATTCATAGGAATTCGAAGGCATTTCTTGATGTTACTGGTTTCAAATTATGACAGTTGCAGATGCTGATTTCTACCTAGAGTGATCAAGGAGTATTGTGTACAGATGTCAACTCCATTAAATTTTATTCATAAATATCAAACCCTTACCAACAATCCATGAAATTTTATTTCAGGATTGTTATTTTTGATTAGCTACGTAAATTTTTGTTTCAGTACCTGCGGAATCTCATTGAAATATTTTTCAATCACCGTAAACACCGGCGGATAAGCTGCACTCACAGATAAGCCACGTCCCGAGTTTGGTAACTCAAATTTCGGAAAAAGGTTTTTGGAAAGAAATCAAAATAATTCACAAGTGGAGTCTCGAGAAAGATTCTTTTCATGTACATTTCTTGATTTATTGAAAGCTCACTAGCATTGAAAACAGAGAATACTTCAAATACTTAGTTCTCCAATAGTATGGACATGATGTCTACCGACTTTGACATATGTTTACTCTATCTTTGGTAGTTTTCAACCAGTATTTTTTTCATACCCCTCAGTTTTTCAAAAGAATTTCACATACAACAGCCTGTTTGTTCGTTCGTAGTTTAGTAGCCAGGCATTTCACCAGGAGATGGAGTACTGGACACAAGAAGCTCTCAATCACACAACAGCTTTGTGCCGGAATGGAGACTCCATGCCACGCAATGTTTAGCTGCTCTAAAATAGCAACCTTAAACTGGCTAAAAGATTTTTTAATGAAGGTTTAACAGTGTTTAACAGCAAGAAATGTAGGCTTATGCTTATGAACAAGAACGGCTGTTTTAGGAGCCACTAAACTTGTAAAAGCAATGATTGATGCCTACTCTGATATTATTATTTTTATGACATCCTATTAGTTTGCTTTTAATATAAACTTATAAAGGTTTGATGAAAAATGTTCATTTATGCAAATTTATGGCACGTTGTCCAAATGTTCTTGCAGATAAGCCGCATCCCCAATGTTTTAGGAAAATTTTGAATAAAAAGGTGCGGCTTATCCGTTGGTGTTTACGTTAGCAAATTTTCTTACCTATGCTCAAAATTTCACGCACCTCAGTGAAATTTTATCTAAATCTCGGCCGAAAAATCATATTTATTCACTTGATAATTCAGCGATTTTACATGCGGATGATAGTTGAATTTTGGCAAAATTCATTTGCATTCTTTTGCAAAGTACTGTAGGTAGGTAGGTAGGTAGGTAGGTAGGTAGGTAGGTAGGTAGGTAGGTAGGTAGGTGAGTGAGTGTGCAGCTATTATGTGAAACACTTAGACTTCAAACTGTTATAAAAAATCTGAATATATTTAGGGCAGACAGGAGTTCTCACCTCTCCACTAGGGCACTCAAGTAAATACTCTGAAAAACGATCTGGGTTGCAGAACAATACAAACTTGGCAAACCACTCTCTGACCACTTTACCCTGTCTGAGTAACATGCATACGACGTCATACCATTCACCTGCAGGACCCCTGTATAATTTAAAAAGAGTAACTGTTAATATTAATTAATCTGTGCTACCTTTCTCTTTTAGACAAAAGCCTGTAGTTCAAACACCGGTTCAAACATTTTAACATGACAAGAAGGAACGCGCTGAGCCTGCAGTCTACCGTGAAAAAGTATGTCTTCATCTATAATGTAACTATGAACAGCTGCGGATAAATATTATTACAATTAATGAGTTAAGTCTTGTTATTTATGGATACGGAATTTCCGAGGGTTAGGGGGGACCTAAGTAGAAAAATCATGGAAAATCCTGGGAGGTGGGGGGTCATACTGGAAAAAAACCCTCCGTGGAGGGGGGGGTATGGATATTTTCTGGATCCACACAATAGAATATCATTTCAGGTCAACAGAATTAGCATTTGCGATCACACTTGACAGTCACTGTCATTTTGAAAATGGTGTTGGTGGCAGACGTGGTTCAACAATTCTTGGTTCTTTGTTATGTTGTTATGTCAAAGATGTTCACACTTGTTTTAACAGAAACACGAAGTACATCAAAGTACATGTACAGTCTTATTTTTGTTGTTTATAATATCTTCTTCTTATCCATCAGCCATTACATGAAAGTGCTTTGATCCTGGAGATGTCAGATACAGGAGCAAACTACAGCTAAACTGGTTCCTTCGAAAACATATTAAAATCTGAACAGAATACAGAATTAAATTAAGGGTAAAATTGTAAAGACTAGTAGGTTTCATAGTCAATGTAGCCAGTTGAATAAAATTCTAACACCCAGTCTACGTAGACCATGATGTAGTACTGAAGTGCCATGTGCCATTCTCGTAAACCCAACCATAAGATTGTTAATGTGTGGATATTCCATTTCATGTAAATTACCACACAATAAGATACTGATTTAGCCTCTTACAATGCAGTGTTTCTGCCAGAGCACGCAATTGCAGGAATTCTGCGTTGCAATCAGAGATGGCCCACAGAAAAACGAAAAAAGGGCCAATTTGGCCCCTTCCTTTTACAAGACTGTGGGCTTAACACAGGCATAATATTTTAAAAGCCATCCCAGGACTCGATTTCATCCTTGGCGACCAAAAATTCTGGTTTAGTCACCATAATACAGCATAATGGCGACTACATTTCTCTGTGTTGACGATCAATAACGGTTATTTTGTCACATATTAAGTCCTTTTAGAAAATCATATTGAAAGATCGTTGCTTCTAAAACATNAACATTGGCCCCTAAAAAAGATCTTCAAGGCCTTTTTGGCCGTCAAGTAAAATTTTCTGGCTGAAACACTGCAATGTGGCAAGAACAACAGTTAGAAAAGGGAACTTCACTTTCTTAGTATTACATGGTACCTGACAGTTTTCTTGGTGCGTAAGCCAGTGGTAAAAAGGAACTTTGAGACCAACTGAATACTGATCACTGACAGCTGTTCGACATCCAACTGGTAATCAAAACAAAGAAAAGATCACCAAACAATAATACAGTGGAAGATCTTTTAACCGACATCCTACTGTGCAGACAGCTCTATTTACAACCGCCTTCAAAAAACCCATTTAAATGCCCAAACTCTGTATTTACTCAGGCCTTTCCACAAGTGACCAAGGACGCTTTAGGGGTTTACGTTTTAGACTTTCCCTTTTTAAGCTCCAAAAAGTGGACACCTGAAAGGAAATCCCATTAACCTCTGAACCTTATTTTTATCAATCAACTTCACATTGCTGTTTGACACAATTGTTTCACAGTGCATACATTTTTGTAAACTCTATCTGCTAATATTAATGTTGGTTGCTATTATGATTTGTTCTTTAACCACTAAGGGCCACTCCTAGTCCTGCAGTATACAGCGCAATTATCCTGGCATCGCATAAGGCCATAAAACAGAACAGAATCATTTACAGTAATACTGTTTTTGTTTTGTTTTGCATTCCCCATGTTTGATGATGATGATAATACTAATACTAATAATACTAATACTAATACTAATACTACTAATACTACTAATACTAATACTACTACTACTACTACTAGTACTACTATTACTAATACTAATACTAACACTAATACTAATAATAAAAATAAAAATAAAAATAGAAATAAAAAATAATAATAATTAAGAGTAATAACTAATATTTCTATGGTGAAATTAGCATAAACCTGAATAAAAGTTCAGGCTTGAATGGAATTCCACCTCATGAACCCTGTGATACTGATGAGAAATCTACCAACTGAAGTCATTCAAACAAAGCACACCAGACCAGACCAGACCAAATGCTAGTGACTGAGACTGCTCTTGTCAGTCATTTTTTTTTACCAAACTTTTGATGGCTGCTGAACAAGTGACACTGTTGCACTTTTGAGGTAAAACACAGGTGTAGTGGCTAATAACCAAGACTAAGTGAACTAGTCAGAAATTAATTGCATTATTAGAGGCTGTAAATTTCTAAAAGTCAATAATCAAAAGTTGAGAATTTACTAGCAAATGTATCCACCTAGTTTATAGGCTTGTGATCTGGTGTACCACTGATGTTTTGATATAGCGTTCTTACATAAGTCTTCAATAAGTCTTCTTCCTCTTCAATATTATTGTAACAAACTTTGAGGCACAAAAATAGGAAGTGGTGTTAGGCATGGTCAGGCATTTAACCACTGTGAAGGTGTTTTTAGTTGCGAGCAGTAGCAGTCCACAGTCCGTTTCCTTGGTATTTATAAATTACTCAATTACAGCATTTCACTTGGCCTTGTTTCAAAGTCACATCAAGCCAAACGGGATGAATGGATACCTAACTTATTTTGTTTCGATCTCCTAAGCCTCAGTGCCATAGTAGAATTTTAATACTCAATAAGACTGCTCAGCAAGTCTATTCTTAATGATTAGCATCAAGGTTTACATACCGTGTTTTCTAATGAAGCATTAGCGACAACTAGCTTTCTCATGAACTGGAAGAATTCTACACTGTATTGTATTCGATTGTGAAGGAAATGTACATTTTGTTTACACACTGCTCTCTTGATCACTGCTGGCATCTGGCAGTCTAAACATAAATGTGAAAACAAGTGAAAACAAAATTAATTCTATTCTTTTGTTTAGACCATAACATAGTTGAAACTTGAATAGCTCGGTGTACCAAATAGCCTCCCTTGTAAGAAAAGCTTACAAGTCTAACTATAATTTGTCGCTTACATTATAAATTTGCTTGCTTACAATGAACTGGGATTCAAACATGCAAAGTTCTCTTAAGCAACTGGTCAGTTATGAGAATGGGCTCTTGTCAGTACTATTTATTACAGTACTAACGTGTACTGACATTATATATCAATGTCTTGGATGACAGAAATGATTATATCAGAGAGGAGTTGCTCAATAGAAACATCCTTCATGGAAGCAATGGCTTCAGAAAGTTCACTATCTTGCCCGTTGGGAAATTCCATCACCTTATGAGAACTATAAAGACATCAGGAAGACCAGTTGGCAATTCCTGAAAGTAGTTCTGGTCGCTTATGAGAGCTTTAATATTGCCATTGAATGACCCTTGGAAGTGTTTAAGAGCAGCTTCGCCTAAATATCAACTAGACTTGGAAATAGCGAAAAAATCGACTTTCTTCAAACTCGCCCAGAATGAAGCCTTATGGGCACTAGTTGCAAAAATATTGTTTTAAGTTCGATAAATCAAAAATTATTTTTTTACGCAATTTTTTCATTTTGATGCCCCAAATCGGCCAAAATCGATTGAAAATGAGCGACATATTCAGAGGCTCGTAAAGTCAAAAGTACTTGAAGTATGTTAGCCGATACTTACCTGAATATTTATGTTTACAGCAGAATCGTCTTCTTGGATTAGCCTTCAAAAGAGGCTGGATCCAGCTTTGGAAACCTCTAAAAGARGAATTGTTTAATGTTCCGTGACCTGTCCGCTGCTATAAATTCCATGCACATGCCGACCGTATGTTTGTCGTGAAACCAACTGAACTCCACTGACAGTTTCAATAGGCAACCCCAAAATAAACAATCCCGCAAAATGTAAAGTGAAATTGGCTGTCTTCGTGAACATTTAGAAGCTAGAGTCAAGTTCCGATTTGGGGCATCAAAACGAAAAAATTGCGTAAAAAAATAATTTTTGATTTATCGAACTTAAAACAATATTTTTGTAACTAGTGCCCATAGGGCTTCATTCTGGTCGAGTTTGAAGAAATTCGATTTTTTCGCTATTTCCAAGTCTAGTTGATATTTAGGCGAAGCTGCTCTTAAGTTTCCTCACTTCAAATTCACCTCTGTTACCCTTTTTACACTTTTGTCACAAGAAAGCTGCACTACATTTTGAAACAATCAAAACTCAGTAATTTTTCAACTGTACTATTGTGCTGAGATGTTCGTTAAATTTGACAAAATTAAGAGCTCCAACAAGAAGGTGAAAATCCCTCACCCTCCATGAATTCTATTCATGTACTTACTTCTGTCTACATCGATTGTTCTGTTTTGATCCAAAACATCAAGACGTTCATAAAAAAGGATATAGGCATTCCACCATCTCTTTTGTCTTCTATAGGACATCCTAACACAGACAATAAGTAAGTGACATTGACTAAAACTGTAACGAGGATAAAATCATACGTAAAGAGCACTTTTGCCCACCTTTTTAGCATGTGATCAAACACTTCTCCCATGTACTCTCCTCCAAAACACTGAGTCTTTAATTCCTGTTAACAAATACAGTATGTACATGTAATCTGCTGAAACAGTTATAAAATACAACGGATAAAACAGTAAGTCAAAACAGCAATATTCTTCTATAATTATGTTGTGAAAAAAGCCTGCAAATAATTTTATCAAATTTTTTTGCTGTTAAGAGTTTGAAATATTTTCAGAGCGTAAAATTTACCAGAAAATTGCCACATGATCAACTGTGATCTTTTAATGTTTTAGTATAATTCTATTAGAAGACTAGTTAGTTATCTAAATCCTCTTCACAGACACTATAAAGACACAAAACCGCCATCTTGTTAACAACCGCACACTGCTAGGCTTCTAACCATCTACAATAGAATCAACAGTGGGTAGTGTAACCAATAAGAGAATGACAATTGTGACGGAGCACTAGTAGATTTATACTTTTATGGCATACAAAGAACTGAACAAGCAACAATACCTCATCATCATCCATTTTGCATTCCGAGACTTCACCGTCATCAAATTTGTACCATTTGGGTGAAATATCTGGAGACACTCTAAAACAACAAAATAAAACAGTTGGCTCCCATCAATAGAGCAGAGAATTTAGTAATTCATTCAATGGATAGCACAAGAAAAATTCACTTAGATGGGTACAGCTTCCTGTAGGATGACCACCCATCATTTAAAGGTCATCAAAGCAGCACAGCTCCTAATTGATCTGGTGTTCTTATTTTTTGTGGTGGTGGTGGTAGAGAGGAAAAGAAAAGGACACTGCCGTTGAGGATGAAAGTACAAACAGATGAGGGTGGAAGGCCAAGAGGGTGGTCGAAGGACAATATGGAGAAGGACTGATGAAAAAGTGTGGAATGGGGCAGGATGGATGTGCTGGAATGTAGCACAGAACGGTGATGCTTGGTCAGACAAAATGCACCCTCTGGTATAGAAAGAATTAAGCTATTTATGCTAAGTGAGTAAAACATAATAATTATCTCATGAAGACAGGAAAATGACCAATTTAGTTTACAAACAAATAATTATGCAATGAACATTATGCAATGAAAACAAGAGAATACTAAATAACTGGTTTAAAACTGAAGATTTCTTTCAACATGTTTGAAATGAGACAACTTTTGGGGATAAATTTATATTAGTTTGTAAACTTATCTAATCCCAACATTCTTTTAAACAAATATTAATTTTAGCAATTTTAGCACTCTTTTGAACATTCTTCATACATGCAGTAATAATTTTAAATTTATGTGAATTACTTTCTATATTGATTGCAAATTTTAAATGTTTCATTACATCACAAATTTTTATCCGTTGAAGACTGTAGACCGGCTGTTGAAACCTCACGTTTTTTAATACTAATCACCAGAGAACGCTTTATTCTATATTATCATGATCAATCCTGGTAAAGGATCCACAGTATTTTTATATAAACTAATCTAGTCGATTGTTACCTTTGCAGGACATAAGAGTAATAATGTCCACCACTGGCTTGTCCACTGTGTACTAAGATTCCCACTAATCGGTACTTTGTACTGCTTACTTTTTTCACATTTTTTTCTTCCTCTGATTCTGACTCAGTTGAGTTTTGTGTGATTTCACCTTAAAAGAAAAAAGTCTCCAATTTTAGTCTACATCATTAATCCAGGATATTGTCAAAGGATTAATGTACAGCACTGAGTACAAGTGATGAGAGATAATAATTCTTTTATTGAGAGAGAGAATTCATCCTATACTAGTAAACAAAATGAACAGAGCCGTTAGACATAGACATAGACAGTTTATTTTACTTGGTCGCACACTTACCTACTGTAACGATGCATCCCATAGACTTGATAAAAAGAGTCTACAGGAAGCACCAGCTAGTTTACAGGTGCACCACGAAAACACTGATGTGGGGTTTTGTTTCATGTCATGAATGTTTGCAGATGTTTAATTTAATTTCTGCATAAATTCTTTGATATGTTGCTGTCTTGAAACTACTTTTTTGAACTTTCCCTTAGTCTTGCAAATTTTCAACTGACCATGTGATTTTACCCAAAATATTTGGGAAATTTTGTCTGCATTATTTTGGCAGAATGAGATATGCTTCTGCTTTTGAACAATACTGCAGCAATACATAACTCCAAGAAATGGCATTTAAAAGTGTGAGGGTCATGGTGATATTACATGCTAATTTTTTTCAAGGAAAGTTTTTAAAGGAGAGTATGAAGCAAGACCAGAATTTCCAGTGGGGTGAATTGAGGGGACTTCAGACCAAAACTCCCTGTGTGGAATAAATATGGAAATGTTCTGAAAAATTGTTGAAAAACAACGTTGCAATGGAGATACATAACCTAATTGTAACTGTGGATTTTTTTCTAGTTCATGAAGTCAAAATCAAAACAACCTGTAGTTTGCAAGTTTTCGAGCATAAATTTCAAGTCCAAGCTACTATTGACAAAAATAATAGTAACAGACTGCTCATTTACTTAAAGTAATTCCCCTCAACTGCATAGCACATCCTTGCTGTACACAATTTTCATGTTATCACGACCCCGTGCATATACACAACATTAAGCTAAGCTCAACAGCAAAATAAATGATCAGTTTCTCCTACATGTGTAACTGGTGATGAGTTTATAGGGGTTAGTCAAGATCACTCGCTGGCTTGCTTGATTCCCGTAAACATGCACATATTTTGGAGCATATGAACTCCCTCACAGGGTAGGTGAGGCACGTGGCCCTTTGAAAAAAATACTAAGAAACTGCTTGTTTGCCATTTCCCAGAGATATTTCTGGTATTTATTGTGTTTGGGCCTTATGCATCCCATGTATTTTGTGGGAACTAATTTTTTCAATTGCAGAAGACTTGTTTTTCTTACTGGGTACTAATGAGGATATAGAAAACACGCCATTTGAGTTGCGCATGTGGTTTCGTATGAATTTTATGAGTTGTGTATTTTCCAGTAAAACAGTCATGTCTATAATTATAATAAATAACATAATGATCAAGTGGGCAAAGTTTTACATGTAGAACTTTTTTATCATTCCACCTTTTTCAGTAGAATGCTATTCTCCTTGCATGATGTGACTGAAAAGGACTGCCATAACATCAAGTGGAACCTCACCTTGAAGCTTTGCAAGTCCAAGTTCTGTAAATGGCTCCATATCAATGTCACGGGGAAATTCAAAGTAATCATTGAATTTCACGGCACACTCTCTGATTAAAAGGATCAATAGATGACCAGTTAATACTGATGGAAAGGAGCCTAAACTACATGGACACTTTCCATATAGAAGATTTTCTATATATAAGAGTTGCTAACTGCTAACCATAACATCAAGTCTAGGAAATCACATTATGATTTTAACAGGGATTCTCAAATTAATTAGTAGAGGTTAGTGTTAGGTCTCACCTTTCCCAGTCATAGTCAAATCGTTTCAGCTGAATTGCTAGCACTCGTGGAAGTTTCTTAATGCACATCCGCTTGACTGTGTCAACCTAAAAATAGCAATGCAATCAGATATAGACAAAGGTGGGAACAATGTCTGGTAAACGATGAAATATAATTATTTCTGTTGAGCAAACAAAATCTTTGAGATACATTAAAACTATCATGAAATAATATAATTGAGACAAACTGATACCTAAAGAATTTCTTCAAAGGCGTAACTAGGGGGTGTCCTGGGGTGCCTGAGACCTCCCCCCCTTTTGTAAGCCTTTTTTAAGCAAACAACCTAAAACATGGTGTGGAGGTCGACATGACAATGTGTTGAGTACCCTCACTTTGACATAGTGTGACCCTTCCTTTAAAAAAATCCTGGCTACAACCCTGTTCTTAGTTATCTTGATCTATTCAAAGTATCTATCCATTTTAAAACTGCATATCACTGCAGGGCAATGTCAGCATTACATTTAGCCTACCTTGCAATGTGGGTTAACTTAGTAATCTCAAGTTAAATGAAGGAAAATAGAACACAAAATGAAGAGGTGGTTTTACAGTGTACTCTCATGATATATTGATGACTACACAGAAAAGGAACTACGAGTTTGAGACAGATTTGAGAGACTGGCAGCCCAGCTGTTTTGGAGGGGACCGTTTTCTTTTTGCTTTGCAATACTAAAGGTACACATGCTTGGGAATATCCAGCTTCTCCAGGGAACAATTTCTCTTTGTCAGTATAACATTTTGCATCAACTAAAGTTGTACTTTCTCATCTACTTGCATGGAAATTTGAATTCGAGTAAAGCCATTTTAGTGATCAAACCAAAAGGAGGAATTATGTAANTTGGCAAAGTTCTTGCACAGTAGCCTCTCCCAAGTACACCTCCTTTCACTCAGATTTCTCATTGCGCGAAGATGTTTCTATTTGAATTCCTACCTCCTTGCCTTTTCCTGTCTACGTTATCTTACTTTAATGACTATTTCAAACCATTCAGCGTTTTTGTGACCCTTCCCTTTACTGGTCAAAAATATTTCTAACAGATGGTAATATTTTATATGAATTACAAACTGGTTATTTTTAATAAAGCAGCTTTGGGATTTCTCTCAGCTATTTTAATCCAAATCTTGGTGTGGGAGTAAATTTGTTGCCCAGTAAACAAGCTCAGTCATTACAGCACTTGTCAATAACGATTATTCAAGAGAACAGAGTGGGAAGATTGTAAACGATTATTCTCCTGCAATTTGGAATAAAATTAATACATACACTGTAAATAGGAGTAAACGTTTCAAAGGCTAACAAATTTGGTGCAGTCCTTATTTACAGTTATTGTAAATAAGGACTGCACCAATTTTGTTAGCCTTTGAAACATTTACTTCTGCTTAGAGTTTATGTCTTTCAAATTGCACTTTAAATCAAGTGATGGCAAATAGCAGTCCTATTTATGAGGTTCAACTGTGTTTGCTGTACACCAAGAACTTATGTAGATTTCTTGTGAACACCACAGAAAGTAGTGGAAATGTATCATAAAAATTGTTACTTTGGAAAAGAAATGATTACCTTTTTGTCACACTTTTCACAGTGGTATGCATTGGCTCCTTCAAGCAAGTCACCTTTGACAAATTGTTCCATGGAGTCCAATAAACTCTGATGATTACGAATGTCCACATTCAGAGCAATGAATGGTGCTTCACGAGAATACCTGATGCAGAAAAAGATCTAGCTTGCCATAATGAAGTGAAACAAGAATTCTCAGACAGATCTCTCATAGTTTTTGTTCAAGAGATATTGAAGTATTTAAAATATGCAAATTAGTGAAGTGATGACATTACAAACTCAACCAAATTTTCATCAAATTGGTGAAAGAGACATCTGAACCAATTTCTACCAGAAATGTTTGATTCTTTACAGCAAGATTCTACTGGATGTGCTCCACAATATAACCTTAACGATTTTTTTTTACCATGGCAACTAATTATCACAATATGCTGATGACAAAATTGCCTTTGTTTCAAACTGTTGTCAACCTTTCAAGAAGTTTCAGGCCTGAAAATGAATAAAAGTAAAACTGAAGGAATGGTGGACACAAGCTGCAAAAACACAGCAAAACTCCTTGGAATTGCCTGTTCAGCCAACTCCATACTTGTGCTGGAAATTAATATCTGGTATAATTATAAAATAGTTAACGAAATTTTTTAACAGAGGCTAAATATCAGAGTCGCTTGTTTCTTCCCCTGTTTTGGGGCTGTTTCCTCTATGGTTTTACTAATCATAGAATAAAGGATTACTGGCATTTCTAAGAAAATACCATGTTGTGCAAACTAAAAATGACTTTTGGAAGAAATGTTGTATACCTGTGAGGGCAACCTTTACAGATTTTCTGATCAGCAAAGCTGCCGCCCAATGTGTTGGAAAACAGTGGCTCACTACCCAACGCCTTCAATCCTTCATCTAAGTTATCAACCAAGTTGTTGAAAAACTCCAGAGCATCATGTTGTTCTCGTAAATTTACTGGTTCACCCCACAGCCTATCACAAAAACATTAGTAAACTCTTGTTCAATGAGTAATCACAAAGCATCATTAGAAACAACTTGAGGGACTGCACTTAAATGGAATTGATACAATGGATGATTTGATTTGCTAATAAAAACATATCTAAAACTTCCAACATAATTATAAAATAAATTAATACGTCTACAATCATTGGAAAGCATGGCACTGATTATTTTATATGTAGCATAATTTTACGAATTAACTACACAATTTGCATTGTGACAAGAAAATAACATAAACATAATAATTATTATTAAATGTGTGAAACTATAGTTAAAAGTTCTTCCTGGCTGCATTAAGAATGTATGATTACTAGAGTGTAACTGATGTCATAAACTNTAAGTATCTTGTTTGTGCAGCTGCCCAGGTTGAATAGAAATAAATAAATAAATACATACATACATACATACATAAATAAATAAATACATAACTAAATAAATAAATAAATAAATAAATAAATACAGAAAGAAGGCATGATCAACTGACTTGAATGTTTTCCAGAATCCCTGTGGTACATGGAACTGCAGCTGACTCTGTGCCAGGTGTCCAAAGATGAACTGAATCTGACTGAGAACACTAACTCGATACTTCTTTACTTCCTGCTCTTTGTCGTTTGTCTCAGTTTCCTTATCATTGTCTCTGTTGTCTTCAGACTGATATCCAGTGTCTATTGTGTTCTCACTCTCAGACTTCTCCTCGACATCAACACCATCCTCTTCTTCTTTTACAGCAGCTCCCTCCACCTTCAGCACACCCTCACGCAGTTCAGGAATCATAAATAGCTATACCAAGCAGAACCAATGTATAAGTTTAATTCTGAGCAGTGCATTCATTTGTTAATATTACAAATAGAAATTAAAATACATATTGTATACATGGACATGTTAAGAAGATATTAGATTGTCATATATACAAAAAAAACTTTCAGGTAATCTTAAAAAACACAGAGAGGTTTAAGGAGATATAGGTTATCTCTGTATGTTGCTAGGGAAAAGAAGGACAGAGTATGAACCTTGGCAGATGAGACTGTCACTTTCTCTGAACCAACTGGTGAAGAGTAATCTAAGAATCAACACTCATAAGATAAGCAAAAAAACCCTTCAACCTCTGGGACTGGCACATAAAATTATTTTCATTGAAACGCTTGTATGCCTTGTTTTCAGTGCTTTACTTAAGGTCAGCCATAACTTAAGATGGAAAATTCAGGAAGCCTACCTGTTGAATTACTGAATTCATATAACATGTGGCCCCTGCATTCTTCAGACCCACATACCCTTTGTATGAGCGTGGCCCAATTGGAGGTAAATGCTCCCACTCTGTCAAAGGAGGATCTTCACCTATAAAAAGAAAATTTGAAAAAAATATGCCTCTCTACATGTATATCAGGAAGTGGGGAGAACTTCACTGTTACAGCAATATACGTGAGAAAAAGATAACATTAAACTGTGACTAATTTGATATAATCATCACGTAAGTACAGAGGATTCCCTACAATTTACAAATGCCATGAACTGTTAACCTTGCAAGTACAGCTTGACAAGGAAAGTATGGTGGCAATTTGTCTTCTTTACAAACACAATAGAGGTCAGTATCCCAATTTCCTGCTTTGCTTACATGTACATGTACTTCCCATTTGTGAGGGGCTTTGCCCTACATTATTCTTTAAGTAAGTACAGAGGAATTCCCCACAATTTACAAATGCCATGAACTGTTAACCTTGCAAGTACAGCTTGACAAGGAAAGTATGGTGGCAATTTGTCTTTTTTAAAGACACAATAGAGGTCAGTATTCCAATTCCCTGTCTTGCTTACATGTACATGTACTTCCCATTTGTGAGGGGCTTTGCCCTACGTTATTCCTTAAAAAACACAGTGAATGCAAGTGCAAGCTCTCAGCAAAAAATTAGGTCATTAAAATACGAAGGTTAAACTGTTACCAGAGTAGTAGAAATCAGTGAGGATGTCTGCTAAGACTTTGAGATTTTGAACACAACCTCGACAAAGTGCAACCAGAAGATCAAATGCAGCTACCAAAGTGGGTGCCGTGGAACAGATTGGTGTCACTCGCTTGTTCCATACCTCGTCTATTAAAAGAGGCAAGTAAAATCATGTAATACTTGTATCATAGCTAGAGGAAGCCTGGATTTTATCTTTAATATTTAAATGTTTCACATACATGCTTAAAGGGTTCTGTTGTACAAAGTATTTATCAACCTAAGAACAGACTTGTAATGACTTATAGACTGTTTTTAAGTTTGGAAGATATGTTTTAGTAATGGTACGATAACCTGTGCCAAAAGTTATTTTCACAATGAATGACTTATACAACTAGAATAATGAAGTCACATCAAACCATGTATGAACAAAAGCACGGTAAAATGCCAAAAACAAGCCATAAGTTTTGGGAGATGCCTATCGTGCATAAGAAAATGTTAATGCCAAATGATGAGCTGTCCATCCCTGGTTGAAACACAATGTCCAGAAAGGTTATATGCAGGGTTTGTACTCTTTGAGCCTTTTAAAATTCCATGATCTTTCTGAGTTTTCCATGTTTGCGCAAAATTTTCCGTCAACAGGTTTTTTAAAATTTTTTACTGCAGTCAGATAATGAGTTACTTGTGTCAGAAATGCGAAAAAACTGGGGGTCACTGCCTTCGTTTCACAGACCAAGCATGTGGAAAACTACCCTGATTTTGAAAAATTAGCACACGTACTGTAATTAAGCATGGTCTAATAGTTAGGTTTTCTTGATTTTTTCGCTAATGTAGAAAATCGGTAGAGAAAATGATCCATCAAAAGAAAAATAAGGGCCGCTGAACGTCGAAGATCGTTAAATCCAGGAAAAGCTGTGGCAATGGCCATCTGCCCGCCCTATCATTGTATATCACTGCGCGCTCATGCGTGATGTGGAGTGTGAATTTACGTGCACAGTAAGGATGCGCACAAACAATTAGCGCAAACGTCCTTAAGTTAAGCAGTTGTTCTTGCAGTACGTCAAAATACCTAAAAATGCTCCAGATGCATGCTTGTGTCTATTTCTACTGAAATTTAAGCCTGTTTCTGACTTGTCTGTCATGTTCAAATTTTCATCTTTTTGCCTTTTCATTTTCCGAAAGCATATTGTTTTTCCATGACTTTCTAGGCCTGGAAATCAAAATAATAAATTCCATGACTTTCCAGGTTTTCTATGACCTGTAAGAACCTGGTATGGTTTATGGCTGGTGTAACTTTACGGTCAGTGAAAACTAACCGAGCAACTGTTTTCTGAGAGTCACTCATCCATGTGTGCCTTACATTTTCAACAATGGGTTTCACCAATGTACAACAACTTGTAAAGTAACAATGCATATGTTTATGAAGCCCTCCTTGGACAGTCTTGGTTGTGGGGTGCCCAGTTATGAAAAGCTGTAACTGGATACCTGTAATTGGACCCCCAAGTGATCTTGCAATTACATGAAAAATAGCTGTATAGAGAACCTATCAGAATCAAAAATTTGGTAACAGTGATAATGTAGATACAATTAGTTATACAATAATTTAATTTAGCATGGAAGTTGGTCACAATGTCACAATGTAACTTGTTCACAATTTTAACTTTAGTAACTTGAAATAAATTATTACTTTAAATGGTGGTGTGCAGGCAGTACATATCTAAGAAGACATCATCCCCCAATATCTCTGATGAATTTTAACAAAATTGATGTTCAAATTTCAGTGATTTGAAGCTTTGAAAGGTCCTTAAATAACAAAATGTAGCACTTGAAGTTATTAATGAGCAATAGCCCTGCATCACCTTAACTGTGATCACGTTTTAAGGAGCACTGCATTATATGTAATTGGTTTTAAAAATAACAATTGAAGGGGTGAGTGCAAAACCATGCTAAGTGATGATTTGGGTGAAAAAAAAATTTTTTTTGCAAAAGCACTTAAATTTTTGTATGTGGTCTTCAATGTAATAGAAAAACGCGGCCCTGTATTTTTGTC